AAAGAATTCTTTAGTTGCTGACAAGCAAGCCTCCCCCAACACTCCCCCAAGATGGCCACGTCACCTCGTGTCCAACCCGTGGACCCAAAGAACGTCCCGATCCCCGCGACGCCCAAGGTGGCGCCAACCTACCGTCGTGGCAGCACGGACGCCTCGATGGGTGCTTTCGATGACCCGGACGCGACGGTCACGTTGACGCTCGGGCAGATGGACGACCTTTTCAACAAGTTCATCACCAACAACCAGTGGCTCGGTGCGGCAGCCCGGACGCGCAGCCTCGCGCAACAACTGCCGCCGGTCGAGTTCCATCATTTCACTCACCTTGCGCCCGAATCCGTCGAGCAGAACCGCCCGGCACCGGACGGCCCTGGGCAATACGCCAAGACCATGCCTGAGGGTTTCTCGCAAATCGTCACGGCAGACGACATCAAGGCACCGTTCCTCAACTCGAGCGACACCGCGAAAATGAAGGCTTTCTGGCTCGAGTGGCGCCGCTACGAAGACGCGATCCAAGAGCGGTTCAACCAGTTCGGCGGTCAAGTAGCCATACAGCGGCGCGTGTTGCGCTATTGTGTGGACAACAACACGCTTCGGACGATGCTGCGCTACCGCTGGGGCCAAGGCAACCGGGACCTCGACTCAGTCCCGGACGACGAGCTCTATGCGTTCTTCAAGACCGACTGCGAGCGCGTGAAGACCAACGTTGCGGACTTCTTTGCGCGTGTGCGTCGGGAACTTCGGTGCGACGAGACGATTCGCAACGGCGAGTCTCGTGCCCTTGTACTGATCGAACAATACGCACGCATCTGCGACGAATCGGGCTTCCGCGAGTACCACGACGTGGAGCCCGAATCGGCCCGCAACCACATCATCCACGCGGTGCGGCCCGAGTACCTCCAGTCGTATTTGCGTCAAGAGGTCAACTTCTCCAAGAAGCGTTACAAGCGGTGGGACGACTTTGTGGGTCTTCTCATCGACACGTTTGGAGCCTACACCCGCCTTCGACAACTTCAAGAAGCCCTCCGCCGGAACGCCTCCCACCGGCGACACCACGCCCACTGGCGTGACGAAGGACAAGGACAAGGTGCACAAGAAGCAAGGCTCGAAGACCGACGTTGGTGGTGCCAAGGTGCCTGGTGGCGCTGCGACAACCAAGAAGGCGCCCACCGGCGACTCCAAGCCCAAGCACCCATGCCTCAAGTGCAAGGCTGTGGACCACAACGTCTGGAAGTGCCCGCTCATCCCGGACAACGACGCCGGCGTAGCGGAAAAGAAGACCCTCCTCAAGGCCTTCTACGACCAGCAGCGTGCGACCCCGACGACGCCTCCGATCCCCCGCAACAACATGATCCAGTCTGCGGAAGATAGCCTCGTCCCAGCCACTGAACAACCACCCCGCGATCTCTTGTCTGGCGCCCTGGCCGGGCCAGTGTCGGTCCCTATCTCGGTGCAACTCGATTCGGGCGCCGACATGACGGTCGTCACGCGGGCGTGGGTGGACAAGGCTCTACTGGCCGGAAGCGACGTCAAGCCGACGGTTTTGGCGGTCTCGCAACGTGTACTGACATTCACGGGCCAAGTGTCAACGATCTCGGAGAAGGTCGTGCTTGACCTCATCTTGCCCGCTGGCAGCAGCTCGCTCAAGCTCCAATCGCTCCCCTGCATGATCCAAGAGGACGAGCTGCCCGACTATTGCGGCGATCTTCTGGTGTCTCGTCATGTGATGCACCAACTCGGCTACGACCCGACGTCTCTCCTCCAGAAGGCTGGCGAGATCCGTCGCGTTTGGGACTTTGCCGACCTACCGCCGCTTGATCAAGCCGACGGTCTCCCCCGCATTGGCACGCTCATGGCCGCGCCTGCCGCCACGATGACGGACGATCCCGTCTATGATGGCCTCGAAACGTGCCTTCCGACGCCCGACCCGCTCGACATCCAACGACGCGAGGTGCGCGAGATCCTCCAACAGCGTGTGGCTGAGGCCAAGGCAAACGGTCTCCCTCGCGTTTTGTGGCCCGCGCTCGAGCAACTACTCGAGAAGCACAGCGACATCTTTCCCACGGCGATCGGCTTGGACCCGCCGGTCGACTACCCGCCGATGATGGTCAAACTCAAGCCCAACGCCAAGCCGTACAAGTGCTCGCCGCGCCGTCTCCCTCCTCAACAGCGCGAGTGGCTGCGGAACTACGTCTCCGGTCTCGTCAGCTCTGCGATCCTGTACCGCAACAACAACAGTGCATGGGCGTCCAACCCGCATATGGTCCGCAAGCCCGGTACCAACGACTGGCGGCTCACCATCGACATGCGGCAAGCAAATGCGTGCACCGAGGACGTCCAGTGGCCCATGCCCAACCTTGAAGCGATTATGGAGCATCTGCTCGGCGCCGAGGCTTTGGCCATCCTCGACATGTTCAAAGGCTACTGGCAGTTCCTGCTCCACGAGGCCTGCCGCGACATTTTCTCGTTCATGACGGACATGGGCGTGTTCTCGAGCACTCGCATCCCGACGGGTGGCAAAGGCTCGGTCGCCTACTACCAAGCCGCCGTCACGGACATCTTTGAGAAGTGGCTCTACAAGTGCCTCCTCATCTGGATCGACGACTTTTTGATCTACGCCAAGACGCCTGAAGACCTCATGACCAACCTCGACGCCATCTTCACACGGTGCGCCGAGGTCGGCCTCAAGCTCAACCCCACCAAGTGCGTGTTCTATGCGCGCGAGATCAAGTGGTGCGGCAAGATCATCTCGGGCCGCGGCGTGCAGCACGATCCGGCTCGTATCAAGGCCCTCGTCGATCTCCCTCTCCCACGTACCGGTGCGGAGCTCATCCAGTTCATGTGCGCTTCGAACTGGATGCGGACGCACATCCCACGCTACGCTGAAGTCTCAAAGCCGCTACAAGACGCGCTGTTGCGTGTCTATCAAGCAGCCGGTACGAACAAGAAGCAGCCTCTTGCCCGTTTCTCGCTTGATGGTTTCTTCTCCTCTGCCGAACTCGACGCGTTCGCGGCCATGAAGGCGGCGATCGCCTCGGCTACGCTCCTCGCGCATCCGGACCCGAACCAAGTCATCTGCGTTTTTCCCGACGCGTCGCTCGACTTCATCGGCGGCATCGTCACGCAGGTGCCGAAGGATCAACTCGAACTCCCCGTTGACCAACAAGACCACACGCCGCTCTTCTTCCACTCCAAGGCGCTGCGTGGCTCGCAGCTTGCGTGGTCGATTCTCGAGAAGGAAGCGCTGGCGATGCTCGACACGGTGCTGCGTGTGCCCCACCTCACGCTGCGCACGACCGAGTTCTGTCTCTTCGTGGACCACGCCAACTTGATCTACCTCTTCGACCCGAAAGGCCGGGATCCGTCTCTCCCGCGCCACACGTGCGACAAGGTCCTCCGCTGGAGCCTCATCCTCATGGGCTTCCAGTACAAGATCTACCACATCTCGGGTGAAGCGAACGTCTGGGCCGACCTTCTTTCTCGATGGGGTGCCGGTCCGGGCAGCACTGCTCCGGTGTCTTTTTGCGCGCCTCACTCGGCGCCGACGACGCCCGTCAACAACGCGATCATCCAAGTACGGTTTCCCGACAACCCGCGACCTTTGGCCGATCCCGACTTTGTCTGGCCATAGGTGGCGGAAATCGCGGCCTTACAAAGACAATGCCAAGCACAAGGCGCCGCTCTGCAGCTGTCCAAGGACCACGCCGACGGACTGCTCCGCGACAACAACGGCAGCGTGTGGATCCCTGACGCGCCCGACAACGACATCAAGACACGACTCGTGATTCTCGCACACTGCGGCCTCGCGGGTCATCATGGCATCGACACGACACTTCGCGTGCTCCACGATCGCTACACATGGTCCGATCAAGAAGCCGACGTCACGCGTTTCTGCCAGCAGTGCTACCAGTGCCAGAAGTCTGCCCCAGGTAAGGTCATTCCCGTGCCTTTGGGCAGCCAGATCCACGCCTCCAAGCCCAACGAAGTGCTCCATTTCGACTTTTTACACATGGGCCCCTCTACCACCGGTGAAGTCTACGTCTGCATCCTCAAGGACGACTTTAGCGGCTGGGTCCAAGCGACAAGCCACGCGACGGCCGACGTCGAAGCGTTCTTGGACGCTTTTTTCCGCTACACCAACCAGTTTGGCGTCCCGACGACCTGGGTGTCCGATCAAGGCACGCACTTCAAGAACCAAGTCGTCAAGGAGCTAAGCCGTGTCTATGGCGCCGGGCACCATCTCACGGTCCCGCACACGCCGTGGTCCAACGGCACGGTCGAGATCGTCAACCGACGCTTCAAGAAGCTCGTCCAGTGCCTGCTCTCGGAGTGGCAACTCCCGTACTCCTCGTGGCCCGAGGCAACCGCCGTGGCCATGAAGATCATCAACCACTCGCCGTCACGTCTTCTCGGCAACCGTTGCCCGATCACGGTCTTCACAGGCATGCCGCCGCGCCTGCCGATCGAAGGTATCTGCAACCCTGTTACGTTTGACATGGTCGACTACGACACGTTCATGCGTACCCGATACGACGACATCGACGAGCTCCATAAAGCCCTCTTCGAGATGCACCGACAAGTCGCGGACCGCAAGGCGCACGTCCGCGAGCAAAAGCGCCAAGCCCAAGATCGCGCCACCAAGGCAGTCCTCCGCCAGTACGCGATCGGCGACTTCGTCCTCGTCCACACGACGCGCCCAAACGTGCCCAAGGCCTCCT